GAGTACTAGATCAATACTAAATCCATGACATGAATACTAAATCAATATTAAATCCATGACATGAGTACTAAATCAATACTAAATCTAGGCGACCCGATGGCTCAGTTGGTATGGCGTTGGTCTTGCCAGCGCTGCCAGAGTGCCGGTTGTGGTTCGAATCCCTGCTGGTCCACTCGGGGGTCTCAAGTGCGACCCGCCAAAAGGCAACGGGCGCCCAAAAAAAAAAACTAAATGAATACTAAATCTATGAGATGAGGACTAGATCAATACTAAATCCATGACATGAATACTAAATCAATACTAAATCCATGACATGAATATTAAATCAATACTAAATTTATGAGATGAGGACTAGATCAATACTAAATCCATGACATGAACACTAAATCAATACTAAATCCATGACATGAATACCAAATCAATACTAAATCCATGACATGAGTACTAGATCAATACTAAATCCATGACATCAACACCAAATCAATACTACATTCATGACATGAATACTAAATCAATACTAAATCCATGAGATGAGGACTAGATCAATACTAAATCCATGACATGATCAATACTGAATCCATGACATGAATACTAAATCAAATCAAATCCAATGAGATGAATACCAAACCAATACGAAAACAACATTTTTTGGAAAATTATGTATTCGTTTTAGATTGTGGTAATTGAAAACCCTTAGATACAAACTTGATGATTTTAACTTTTGAAGTAAATCAGGGGACAATTCATCCGGGCTGTTTTATTGGGTAGGAGGCCAAGCAATCCAGTGGGAAACGTCGGAAAGACCGGGTGGTGAGTCCGACATCGGAGATGAAGAAGTTTTTGCAGGATATTTGCAGGACGACTATGAGTACCTTCTGGTCGCACGCTGCAGAAGATGGCAAAGTCGTGGCCATTAAAGTTCTGAACATTTATGTAAGAGTGGCCACTATTAAAGCAGCCGTGTGTCGCAAACACCGCTCTTGTCCGAATTTGCTTTTGTTTTGTGTTTGTTTTTTGTTTGTTTCGGTTTTTGGTTGGTGACTTGGCGACAGAACACAGGACTATGTATAGGTGCTTAACCAGTTCATGTCATGAGGCCTCTCATATGAAGACAGCCTGCTGATGCGGTAGTTAACTAATTAATTGTGTTTTTGCGACATGCAATTGAACATGTGTGTCGTGAAGTTTGGCTGTGCATGGAAATCGCAGGAAAAGGGGATACGGTGAATATGCCACGTTTCTGTCTTGGTGGAACAACTGGAATTGGTGACTGATCTTTGTACACAGCTGTGGATTTGCTGCAGAACGGTGGAATATGTGAAAGTTTGGTGAGAGGATGTACAGTGTACTGAACCACCTTGAACCTACTTGAACATCTTTAAACCTATCTTGGAACAATGCATGTGCATGTGAACAGTTAGGTAACCATTTTAAGTTTGTAGGAACCGATCTGTGAACTATAGAACCCATAGGAACCTATAGGAACGAGGTAGGAACCAATTTGGAACCAAATGGAACCAGTTTGTGCATGGAAGAGCTTGGAGATGGATTTTCGTTTGTTTTTGTGGTTTGTGGGGTTTTTGGATGTTGTTTGACCCATGTCCTAGGAACTTGATGTTGTGACTGTATTGGGTAGGAGTTTTGTAGGGTATTTGTGAGTTTGAGCTGAAGACGTTTTATTTGGATAAGCTGGAAGAACGTTTTTAAAGCTTGAGAACTCTTTTGAAGTAGTTTGAGAAGTTTGAGAACGTTTGAGTGTCACTGCGTTTTACTCTGCACGACTCTTCTAAGAAGAAGAGTGACTGAGCTGTCAAACCTGTGTGGTTTGGCTCAAGTCCGAGCTGTGAAAAAGAGCTGCCACGCCGCTTGTAGAAAAAGCGCCGTGCACAGATCTGCGGTCAGATCCAACGCTTCATCCAAAATTCCTACAGAACTACGCAGGCGGACGCGTACGTCAACCACGCACACCAAACACAAGCGCAGAGCGTAAATTCCCAAAACCTAATTAAACTAAAGCAATACCGTGTCAAAAGGATTGTTTCACCCTCGACTCCCACATGCTGACGTCAAGCTCCTTCTTTTCGCTCCAGACGCAACACGATCAGTCACGGGGAAACACAAACACAACAAACAAACAAAACAAAGAAAGAAGAGGAACAGAGAAGTGTTCGTGTTCCCTGTGTCGGTCTGTCTTATGTCAAGTTATGTGACACAGCAGCTCTTGTTCATTAAATGAACTTCTGACACCAGTCCTTCGAGCCGATGTCTCAACTGGTAAACTCGATTCCAGGTTTCCAGTTAACAAACCTCAAGTTCTTTAAATAAAGGTTTGTTAAAACTATTCCAGCTGCTAGAAGTCTACAAAACTCAATTTCACTAGCTGAATTCAAAACATCGGAACACTTCCAAAAGTTCTCAAATCAAACTGGTTCTCATCCAAACGTGAATAACCAGCTCACTAGTCACAAGCTGACTAACTTCTCAAGAACGAAGTGATTCACACAAGGTATCTGTACAACCTTCTTCTGGATACAAAACATAGTCAGAACACAAAGTTCTTTCTCCAAATCAGCTTTCCACATAGAGATAGCATCTCACAGCTTCTAACCTCAATGTAGAATAGAATGTTCTGTTCGACATTGTCAATGTAGGTCAGCCAAATACAGTTGTATCGCTGAAGTCTTTCGACCACTGTAATAGCCAATCCACAATGTAGACCAAAGTCATCTCAAAACAATGTCGTCCTCATAGAGATAACCAAAGTCATCTCAGGAACGATAAAATGCACACCATAAGATCAAGTGTATGATCCATAGGTCACGATGACGATGATGTAGGTATTGTCCTCACAATACCGAAACATCTCATCACAAAATTTTCAGACAGATAAGATGCCCAAATATGGACATTGTCCTCACAATGCCAATGCATCTCATAGTCCAAACTCAAAACATAGTAGGTTCTCTCCATCAGATATTTCCCAGCTAGCTAGCTTAAACTCTTCTCCAAGAGTTTCTAGCTGTGTTCTCATCACTTGGAGAGAATGAACACAATGTTCAGTGTCCAGGAGTGTCGTGGACACAAGAAGTGGTCTCAATGTCAAACCATTATAAACGACCTTGTCCCTACAGTACATCGCATAAACATATATACAAAGCAAGTACATATATATACATACGTCGTAACAGACATATATGTAGCTCGTGCATATCCAGCATATATACATATATTTCAATACATCATCGCATACGCTCTCGCATCCTACGCATGGGGGGAGAACAACATACACCATCTCAAACTTAAACAAAACCACAAACTTGAAAAAGTGCAGTCGGAAAACATGACAATCGACAGCTCAGGCAAACTCTGTTTTCTTCTCGTTGGCGGACAAGGGTGATCTCCAATGAAATCGTAAATTGATTTCCACATTGCATTGCATCATTTGTTGTTTCATCGCATTTGAAAAACGAAAGATGGGATTGCATATCCCGGCATATCTTTCACAACGAACTCTCACCCATGGGTTAAGGTATGTATGGAAATTACATATGAGGGCGGGTACAAAGTACAAAGGGTGGGCATGAAAAATTCACCTATGCATAAGGTGACCCTCCCTACCCAACCCTGCATCTTGAGTTGTAAAATGCCACACGAATTAAATTCATAACCCATTATGAGAGTGAAAGTTCCGGTGAACATGGTTCATGGAGTATACACAGTACATATGCATGCATGGCATGTAGTGTGAATATATATATATATATATTCAGGTGTCAAACTGTTTTAGAACGAAACATGCATTTGGTTTCAGGTAACAGCACCGTCACCGAGGTTGACATCTGAAAATGACCAGGCTTTTTTTTTCGGGACGCCTTCTAAAGAAGGCTGCAAGGTCAAGTTTATAAACAGCTATTAGACAAGTCTAACTGCTACCTTATAAACGACCTTGTCCCTACAGTACATCGCATAAACATATATATAATATACAAAGCAAGTACATATATATACATACGTCGTAACAGACATATATGTAGCTCGTGCATATCCAGCATATATACATATATTTCAATACATCATCGCATACGCTCTCGCATCCTACGCATGGGGGGAGAACAACATACACCATCTCAAACTTAAACAAAACCACAAACTTGAAAAGTGCAGTCGGAAAACATGACAATCGACAGCTCAGGCAAACTCTGTTTTCTTCTCGTTGGCGGACAAGGGTGATCTCCAATGAAATCGTAAATTGATTTCCACATTGCATTGCATCATTTGTTGTTTCATCGCATTTGAAAAACGAAAGATGGGATTGCATATCCCGGCATATCTTTCACAACGAACTCTCACCCAAGTCTGCTTCAGCCAAGGTATCAAACAGAGCAGTGCCTAACATGGGGCATATCGGACTCACGCAAGTAAACGGCCTTAAGAAGGCCAACTCTGAAACAGAACCTCTGCTCGGAAAATCCGCAACATTTGAACTCGACGGAACTCTCGCCACCCAAAGAAGAAAAGTGTCTTCGGCCGGGTCTTCCAACAAAAGCAAGAGCTTGCGCCAGTCTTCCTGCAATGACGTCCCTTTGACTAGCACGTCCAAAGCAGGCCAGTTATCCACAAACATGATAACCCTCCGGGAAGATACCCTTTTCTTCCAATGACGCAAGGCCACCACGCAAGCATAAAGCTCAACCAGTCCAATAACGTGGGACTTCCCACCCTGTCTCCAAATGTCCAAAACTGCCTTTGGAACTTCGCTGCCGAAAACTTCAGAGCTCCCATCAGGAAAAAGACAGACTGCACCTATCGTTGCATGAGGTTCTCCAGTGTCGTACTCAAGAGCACCATCCGTGAAAAGCAGTACAGGTTTCTCCATATCGTCAGCAATGAAAGCTTTCGGTTTTCCTCCGCACAACCTTTCTTGAAGAATCTCGAATGCCTTAATTTGAGTGTCACCCAAACGCACGGCCGTAGGTGCAGTATGCCCAAGCTCTCTCAAGTCAGCCAAGGCCAGCTTGCCAGCTCGCCCCCACACGTGGGAGTCTGCATATTGAAGTTTTTCCCAAAACAGAAGGTAACTGGTTAGGCACCACCACGCCAGCCTTAAGGATATCCTTCAAAGCAAGGTTCAATTCCTCCACCCTGGAGGGCTTGTTGGAAATTGAAATCTTTCTCTGTGACGCTTTGCTCAAGTCAACAACGACTCCAAGGATTTCAGCAGTGTAATCGAAAGGAGCCAGCTTCTCTTCCGAATAAACGAAACCAAAAAGAGACATGAGACCCTTGGCACAAGCCAACGTAGAGGTGGTATGCATTGCATGGGATACCATAGGGAAATCGTCAAAATAACTGGTCCACAAGAGCCCCAAGGCACAGCCTGCGGCCTGCAGGAACGCACTCACCCTCAGGAAGTTGTGAACGCTTGCTGAAGCTCCAAATGGGAGCGTAGCACATTCGAAGCAACGCACATCCTGGTGCTGTTCGCTCCACAAGGAAATGACAGCTTTATCTGAATCTAATGGACTGAGGGGAAGTTGTTTGTACGCTGATTTCAAGTCCATGGCTGTGACCTTCAAATCAACGCCAGCTTCTATCCAGTCCTTGTGGACAAACCCAGACAATTGCGTTCCGTCTTCCAATTCAAAGTTGAACTCGCCACCGACTGTATACAGTCTTGCAAGAAAAATGGAAATCCACACCAAGTGGTCTAGAGCGTACAATGAAGCCCTTTCCGTTGACGAGAAAGTCTCATTCACTCGGTTTTCCTTCAGGTCGTCAATGGGCCTCAACTTTTCCTTTTGGATGACTGCGAAACGCCTGACAGGAAGCCATCGCCCAGAAAAACGCTCGTCCATCTCAAGCGCAGTATAAGGGCCAGACAGCCAACCCTTATCAAGGGCTTCGCTTTCCGTGAGCTCGTAGAGTTCCTTGCTATGGGCATCTCCACGACTAGCACGTATCTTCCCAAGCAGCGCTGGCTTCAAAAACTTAGCATCCTTCATCAGTTGTTCTTCACTCATTGAAGCCGCTTTGATACCAGGTTGAAAAATATTTGATTTTGTCGCCTGTCCCACCAAACGAAAACCTTGGGCCATCTCCTGAAACAGTGTGGTGTCTGGCCAGTTGATACTTTTCGCAACTCTTTCCATTAGAAGCAAACGCTTGGCACCAAGCACAGCTTTGACCTTGGGGTCGCACTTCTGTTTGTACTCCTTTTCCACTATCGCAAGTTCCGTTGCCCAAGTAGTCCAAAGCTTGAGTCTCTGTATGCGCAATCGCACAATCTCCAGTGGTGACATGGTGAGATGCTAATGTGAACATTTCAGCAAATGGTCAGGCATATGTGCAGCTGTGTCAAAGGGGTGCCACAACGTCTTGGCTAAGGCGACAAAGGTTTCGCATGAGTGAAAAATTCCAAAAACACACAAAAGCTTCTCTCCCTTCTTCTCGGTACGCAGCAGGCGGCTACCTGCTGGAACATGCTTGCAAGGGTCGCACAAACAACGCTTTGCATCTGTCGAAGGCAATGCATCCAACAAAACACTGCAAACTTTCTCATATTCCGGAATCAGCTGTGGGGTGGCCCTGCCACGTGGTTGCTTGTCGACACGCGGAGGTTTGCAGTCAGCAGGCTGCACTCTGATTCCCTTTTCCAAACAAATTTCATCAAAAACACGTACAAGTTGCTCGCACATGCCATTGGGATATTGGGCTTCCATTGCTGTTGCAAAACCCTGTTCAGGATTATAACCCCAAGGTTCATGCACATGCGGTTCGACATCTTCGCAAAAACGTTGCATCATGGAAATACTGCTCTTATTGCTAAGAAAAGAGGTCTTCTTCGGTCTGGCACCCCCGAAAGCGCAAGCATGACAGTGCGCAAACGTCCCATGTTCAACTGCATATGCAAAATATTCCAGCTCCCACAACAAACTGTTGGTTGGGTTTTCAATCACCCAAGCAATTCCTCTTTCATCCAAAAATTTCACAAATTTTCCCATTCTTTCATACAAACGATTTGCTGCATCAACTTTCAACTTGTCCAGTTCAGAAATGTCCGAGAGGCCTAAGGGAAATTCTCAGCTCCGAACCGGCTGTGGGCCAGGGGATCCGTCCGGCATTGGGATTCCCCTGGCCTTGCTGCATGTACCACATGGCGGTGCCAAATGCACTGCCACAACATCGCATGTTTCAATGACATATTGCAAAACATCCCAAGCATGATCTTCTGACAAATCCAGTGACACTATTTTGCATCTGGGTCGGTGTCTGTTTCTTTTGAAATCCACCGGCATCACACGGTAACCATGCTTCTGAGCTGCTGCACTGAGAACGGCACTGCCAGCGCACAACTCGATGAAAATCATCTGCTTTTCCATTGGAGAAAAACTGTGAACCCTTTTTGGGGAGGCATCCATGTCCGCAAAAACTTGAGAAGGCATATTTTTCTTGCGTCGTGCATCAACGTGAGATTCAGATGGCCTGGCCTTCTTAGAAGGCTGTTCCCCCGACTGCAGCCGCGCATTAGCTGAAGGCGGAGGCAAGGCATCATCAGCATTGCATTGAGAAAAGTCCTCGGGAGATAGTCATTCCCGAGTAACTGCCGTCTTATTCGGGCAGTCCATGGTCATATGCATCTTTTGGCAACCTTTCACAGCACATAGGTGAAGGCCCTTTGGGCATCTCTGGTCCTTCACCGCCTGCTTGCATCGCTTGAGATTGTAATCGAAGCAAAGCCTATGTCCCTTGGATGTGGAGGCAACACATCCCAAGGACAGCAACTCACTGGGCACCCGCATAAAGGTGCCTTTGGAGCCACCCTTCTGGGAGGCTGGGTCAGGCCTTGGTTTCTTAGGCCTAGGCTCATCACTCTTCGGCTTCGTGGGAGAATGAGATGAAGCTGCTGGAGCAAGTCGATGTTGGAGCAGGTTCAAAAACTCCGGACTGTCAAAACATGCATCAAAATGAACGTCACAAGGTCGTCCAGCTGAACCTGCCTTTATCCCCTCTCTAGTCTTTTCTGCCATCAGCGTCCAAAACTTTTTGTCAGCCAACTCGACCTGCTTCAGTGTCAAACGCACACAACCAGAAGGGGCCCCTTCCATGCGAGCATTAATCAACTTCTCTGCAAGGCGCTCATGCTTCTTGTAGCACATGATGTTGGCCTGGTCAAGCGCAAGTCCGCGCCTGATGAGGCAATACCTGACAGCCATTTCATTCGAAGTGTTGCACGGCTCGATCTGGTCCTTTTTGGTCAACTTGAGATGTCCAGAAGCATCAAACGTCAGGCCACTATCCTTCTTTGATCCCGTGACAATTTCATGGTCACGTGACACACAAACATCCCAAGTCACATATGAAACTCTGTCTGCCTCGTAGGCACTCACGCATCTGTCTATCAACGAGTCTCCAGGTTCGAAATTGCCTCTGATGTCCAATCCAGAAAGCCTTTGTTGCTGTTCGTACAACCTTTGAGAGCGCTCAGCTGGTGCAAGCTTCTTCACAGCAGCTTCATCTGAGGCTTCGACCTTGGAACGAATATCTGCAGCAATGGTGGAGTATGCCTCACTGAAAAGACGTCTGATGCATGCCATCTCCTTGGTCGAAGGGCAGCACCAAGGATATTGGTCGCCAGGGTTGTCAAAGGGCGTTCATCCGCCGACCCCGGAGCATAATTGCAAGCGAAGGCAAAAGTGCCCATGGTGTTGAGTCCTTCTGCATTGAAGGCCTCATAATTGGCTTCAGTAAGCCCAACTTCCAAAAACCTCTTTTTAAATACTGCAGTGCTGTCACTGTATGCCATGGTCGCGACAAGTGCTAGAGCCACAACTGCATATATGGCGTTAGGTCATAACACTTTGCATCAGTGCCAGACTGTGAAGCATCACAAAATTTTTGATTCGTGTCACGACCTACGTCAAGAATTTCTTCAAATTTCACTCCAATAACATGTCTGCATGTGACAGCTGACACACGTGTGCCTGCAATTGGCACCCACCAACATGAAAAACATGCGACCATGAAAGCACTTCGCACAATTGAAATTGCACACATCTACCTGTCACCTGTTGCCTATTAAAATTCCGATATAAACAAAACATCCATGCGCGGCACCCCAATCATGCGTCCTTTTGCTCATACGTGATGATCTTTGAAGCAGGTGCCACACAAAGGGTGGAGGAATTTCGGTCGCTCTCCTTGCACTTCATACCGGGAAGACATCGCCCTGCCACAAGCTAGGTGAGTTCCAGCTCATCCATGATCTTGTGCAGACAACGTGAAGTGGCATGGCGAACATATACCTGCAAGCTGTCGGGCTCAACATGTTTCGGTTGCCAGGCACCAGCAACCTGTTCGATCGCTTGTTCTTCTTCATAAACATCTCTATCATCCTCGTCTTCTGAACCGCAGCTTGATGATTCGATTTCATCCCCAGCATCTTGTGAGGCGCCTGCCTCACGGGCAAACATGCCTGACCTCGTGAGGTCTGGGTCAAAGCTGCCACCGGCCACCTTGCCTATGAGGTCCACAAGAAGCCTGAGTGGATGGGACATAGCATCACGTGAATACACCAGCATGGACTGATCAGCCGATCCGCTATGATACCCAAGCAGTCTTCTGACGTCATGGTCAAAACCCGCACGGGCGCTCCATGCCAGAAGGGTTGCTTTGCAACTGTGAGTTGCAACCCTGATGTCACCGACGGTCTCGGTATTCTTCAAAAGATTCCGCAACCACTCACCTGCTGGTGTCACATTCAGCTGAGCTTGAGACCAACCGCCGCCAACTGCTGGAGAAGGCATAACAGGGAAGTTTCCACCAGATTTTCCAGAGGCCATCAAACCTTGTTCAGCCCGCAGCTTATCCCACACAGGGAGCCATGCAGGCTCGGTCAAGCACTGGACAGGAATGGCAATTGGAAGGTACCTAACCTTACGCTCCAAGCTGATGCTGGTCTTCGTACGCTCAGCAGCGCATTCCAAAAACCCCACAGGCTTTGAATCAACGTGCACCAATTCCAAGCGCATCCCAGTGATACGCTGGCCATCAGAAAATCTCAGTCTTCCATACAACAACATGAGAAAGTAACCAGCCATGACCCGGTCGTAAACGCTCTTGTTGGAGCTGGTGACAACCCTTTCCAAGGTTCTGACCTGATCGGCAGTCAAAGGAGGCCGTTGTCGCACCTTTGCACGCTTCTCATAGTGCAACTTGACTGCACCATCTATCCTCTTCGAGCTGCAAACCTCGAGGCCTCCAAGCAAGCCCAGAACATGTGTTGCAAAACTAATGGACAGCATGAAAGACCTTGGATAACTCGGGGCAGTGTCAGCAACCGACTTGACATAGTCGTAGACCCTGTACTCTTCCAATGGAAAAGCCCTCAAGTCTCTGTCAGCACAAAATTTCAAAAATCTCAGCAACGGACCAGCCCTCGAATGGAGGGTACTTGATGACTTGTTTCCCAACGAGTCGCCTATTGATTCAGCCAACCCTCCCTTGGCAAACTCCATCGGGCCAGACAATATTTGTTGCCTCGCCACCTCAAATGCCATAGGGTTGGAAGAAACAATACTGATCCACTTTCTGTAGGCGCATTTCCGTTCATAGTTCAGTTGATCTTGCCATGAACGTTTCTGTGCATTTTGCAAGGCTTTTGTACTGAAGTTAGGATCATCCAATCCAGGCCTGTTCAACTTGTCCGGCAAACCCTCATTTGACCCTTCTGCAGCAGGAAGCGGTGGCATAGCTCCCAAGGTTCGAAAAAGGTTCTTTTGAGATCTTTGCACAATGTCCAAGTTGTCCATTAAACGGAAATCCCAAGGCATTTTGGCAGTGCTGACATTGTTTGAAATCCAGCAGTGACGTGCATGCATGCAAAACTGAGTGGTATCTGCAAAATCATCAGTAAACCCATCCCTCTTACGCTTCAGGTCCATCGAAAAAACAAAAATCAGGAGGCACAGAATCTGATGAAGATGATGTCAATGAAAATGACTGCATTGGCGGTGTAGGAACAGTCCAAGGCTGAGAATGGCACTGCAACCGAATGGACGTCGCTCCCAGGGCCACGTCAGTGCGATCAACCTGAATCACCAGGCACGAAATGAACAGCCGTGTCTGTGAAAAACTGTCAAGATATGCAGCAATCAAAATAGACACCTCGAAGCTGATCCAAATGTCACGCACGAAATTACCACTGAGTTGAAGTCGCTGTGTGAATCGTTCCAAATCCACTGGCAACTGTAGCATGAAAAATTCACCTATGCATAAGGTGACCCTCCCTACCCAACCCTGCATCTTGAGTTGTAAAATGCCACACGAATTAAATTCATAACCCATTATGAGAGTGAAAGTTCCGGTGAACATGGTTCATGGAGTATACACAGTACATATGCATGCATGGCATGTAGTGTGAATATATATATATTCAGGTGTCAAACTGTTTTAGAACGAAACATGCATTTGGTTTCAGGTAACAGCACCGTCACCGAGGTTGACATCTGAAAATGACCAGGCTTTTTTTTTTCGGGACGCCTTCTAAAGAAGGCTGCAAGGTCAAGTTTATAAACAGCTATTAGACAAGTCTAACTGCTACCATGTAGGTATCTTCAGCTCAAGCAATAAGCTGTACCAGACTCAAGTCGAATCCAGAATAAGATGTAGAACTGATCAATATACCACAATCACAAGTCAACACTGATCAATGACATCATCCTGATGTCAGAAATGATAAGTCCGAAGACCAATAGAATATTGTGATACAGGTTGGTCACATACAAGATTCCTTCTGCAATAAGTAGAGTGTTTTCTACCAATCTCCCATGGCGCTATGAACTCTTGCAGTAGCCTTCCACGTATCCTCTGTGCATAAACTATACAACCATGATGAATGACATGTCGCTTCACCCTTACCCAAAGGGTGCTCCCACAGGGTGTCAAATTTCCATACCCCCTTTCGACATGACATCTCATCCACTCACATCACTGCCAGATACGGATACCAATCAAATATCCGCAGAAAAATGTTCACGTTCCAGATCATATCCATGATCAAAAGATATCCAAAGAAGCACACGTCTTCCAAAACACAAGGTAGATGATAAAGCATCATCCAAAAACTCATCTCGTTCGATTCATGCATAATGTCGCAACTTCCAAATTCGAAATCTTCTCTGTCACGAAAACCAGATGTCGGAATACCAGAATCAGTCCAAAGACTCATAAGGTCTTTCCAGTACTAAACTTGTCTTCCAAAATCCAGTTCCTCGGATAAACCATGGCGTCGATAACGATATATCTACAGTGCTGTTGTCTTCCTACAACACACAAAACAACAGAACAAAACAAAACAAAAAACAAACACACACACACACACGAGACCCAAGACGAAACCTAACGTCACACGATCGGAGTCAACACGAAAACAAAGGCCAACTGTTTCAGCTAATCCGCACCTTCGTGTAGAAGGTAGGCGTATGAAAAGAAAAAACGCAAGTGAAGTAATATCACTCATGCAACTCATCTCAAATTCAGAGCAAGTGAAGTACAGTTCACAGTCACTGCACAACAAATTCAAAATGTTCTGATTGAAAATCTTTCACAGTCAGGGTCAGGACTAGCTAAGATTGGCACAGAATGAGGAAGCGGTGAGAGACGTTCTAGGACAGAACAACTCTCACAGTTTCATCATCGCATAGATCGCCGTCCCCCTTTCAACGTCTGATCCATCCTAATGATCTCGGAGGCGTGGTATGTTTTGTTTGATTCTATATCATGACATGAGGGTGCAATATGTCTGCAATCATGGCATCAGATTCCCCCGGAAGATTTTTCCGATTACTTAAACTCAGATTCCGTCCGAGTTTCTTCCCAGGTTCTCATCATGTGCCATGACAACACAATTATACCGAATGTTTGTAAAAACACTCACAACATCAAGTTCCATGTTTCAAAAAACAAAACTCAAGACATGCACACAAAAACTCAAACATAAGAAATGCCGCAATCAAGCCAATCAAGAACAACTTCAACTTTTCTTCATGATGTCTCCCTCAGATCTGTCAGCAACTCCAAGTTCTGAATGCCTTCAAGAACGTTGCTCTCGCCATCGTCATTGAGAGACATATGACAACAAAACGAACTTCAAACAACTAACAAAATCAATATACAAACAAAATTGTGTCCACTGCGTCAATCAGCGTGTCTTGCCCCCCTTTTAAACTCAAGCTTGGTACCGGTGCTCAGCCATATCGTCCTTTCTGAAAACAACAAGTGAACCTCGAGTTGACAGAATCAACTATTCTCTTGTCGTTACACCAGGCGAATTCCGGCGCCTTTGGCACTCTGCTCAGGTATGAACATCAGGGGTATACCCTACGGTATTCGCGTGTCCCCTGAATTTGCATATACCCTAAAGGGGAGAACGCTGCCGTCCCCGTCTTTGGGTCGTGACGTGCAGTTGGTGAAACACACCTAATACTGCCCGTGACCTCTTCGATCACCTGACAAGGTGGGGACTTAATGTCCTTCACTTCAAGAGCCAGGGGATAGCTCATTGGTAATTCTCCCATCCTTGCCGGGCTGTAACCCGCGAACTTCACCATCGGCAACGTTGGTGGCGATGGAATCACAGGTCTCGGTGGCACTGCCGGTGGAGGCGGGAGGTGGCCAGAGCTCAAACTCACGCCAGGCGCCGGCGTCATCGGTGCCAACGGTGGGCTACTCTGTGACATGCCAGGATGTCCCATAGGTGGCTGCGGAGGATCATATGCTGGAGCTGCTTCTGGCGGTGTCCCCTTTTCAATCCTCTCCGCAACCAATTTCATATTTTCTTGTAGCTTGTCCATCGATTCGAAAAGCTGGGTCATCAAATCCTGCAAGGCTTGGTCGCGTTCCGTGCGGCCTTTGTTGTTCCTTTTGAGCACGTCTGCCATAGAGACATCCAGTGCCCACTCCAGGTGCTTTTTCAATTTGTTATATTCACCAACGACTGCACCCACGCGGCTGGTGTTGTGGTTCACACCAGCAGCCAATGATTCTGATGCCCTTGCCATGTTGTTGACTGCCGCTCCCACGGCCTCTAGGCTTCGGCAAAGGTCCTGCTGAAGAGTATGCGTACTCTTGATAAGGGTCTCAATCTTGTCCGTCGAACCCTTCAATCCAGCGACCATCGAAGTGATTCCCACAGCCAAGCCCGTGGTAGAGTTCAACAGGTCTGTCGCATCACTGGGATCAAATGGCTCATGCATTCTCAACCTTGGAGATCTCGATCTATCATCATCTCTTCCAGCATCTCCTTCCTCTTTGTCTTCCTTGTCCTCTCCAGGCACATGAGCAATGTTCTGCTCTCCCTCTTTCTCTGATTCCGTCTCAGCAGTTCCTGTCTGTGCCGTCAGCGCTGGGTTCTCAGACACGGAAAATTCTCCCTCTGCCGCTGGAACTGCCGGGGCTGCTGGAGCTGGCACGTTCGCTGCCATGAATCGTTCGAGTCTCCTAGACAAGGCCTGATGCACTCGCTGGGATAAGCCGGGGCCCAAATACAGCTTGGGCATAATCTGCAATTCAACTTGACTATCCATCTACTGACCATGCAGATTACTGCTCAGCCATTTCGTGCCATGCCAAGCACAAACTCTCTCTTATTCATCCTAAGGTGCATGACGCACACCTTAACAGATGAATCACACTTCCGCCAAAGATCACACTCACTACTACCCCAAGATGCGTGCCGCACATCTTGACAGGTAATATGTGATCGACCAAACTTCAATGTCTCAGACAAAACAAAAATAATACAAACTTGTGGCAAACCGCAAACTCAATCCAAATCCAACTGCCAATGCATGCACAACCCTTCACAAAACTGCAAAACAGATCACCGTGGTTTCCGTGCACATGAAACCCATAGACATGTCATGCAGCAAAAATGAAAACTCATGCAAAGCTCGTGACAGCTGACAGAAAACCAGTCAAACTAAGTTCCACAAGTCCAAGTTCCGTCCAGTCCGAAATCGTCCAAAACTCTGAAGTTCCAAGACATCCCAAAATTGTCATTTCACTCCAATCTCAGCTTGACAGCTCTTTCATCACAGCTTTTGCATTTCTCCTCGCAGCTATCGTCGGCTTCCAAGCCTAGCACTACCACCCGGCCTGGAACCATTACAAAAACCTATACATTGGGAGGAAATTTCCTCTCCACTCAGACGATCCTGTGGGCGTCAGCGGCAAACTTGTACAATAAGTTGCCATTCTGGTCAAACTCCAAAGCCTTCATCGTGCCCTGCCAACGATATTCGTTGGGTTTATACTTCAGAAGGACCCCCGCCTCGGCCTTTTGGAGATAGCCAATGGCGGTCAGTTCGACCTCAACAAGGACATAGTCCTTGGCACAGAACTCACCTTTGGGACCTTCCGGTGTCCAATCATTGAAGTACTGCGCACGCTCAACGGCAGCAATCGGGTCTTTTCGTAGTCCAAACCTTTTGGAATATTCGTCAGGCTGAATCTCCTTGCCATTGTTCAAGTCCTCAAACTGCTTAGGAGTCAGAGCCAACCAAAGACGAATGGATTCCATGGCCATTGATGCCAAAGGATCTCGAAGCGATCGTGAGGGCAGCTGAAATGCAAAACACTGAGCCAAAGTTGTCTTATAATAAAACAGCAACGGTGGAATGAAACCTCTACAAACATGAGAAGTCCAGACAAAATGTCACGTCAAGTCCAGCATAATAGACAGCTCCATACT